TTAAAAAGGATATACAGAAATATACACTACAGTGACATCTGGCGTCGTTTTAGTAAGACATTTTCTCTTCCGCATAAAAAACTCTCCGCACGTGACCTCCCGCGTGTGACGTAACATGGGGGAGAGCGGCCGGTCTAACGTATGAATAAACATGGTTCACAATATGCTAGTTTTGACACAGAAGAGTTTGAAAATATATATTCGAAATGCATATGATTATAATTATGAGCCTGCTATGCGTCCAAGAGACAAGGATTAGAAAAAATAACGGCCATCGGAGAGAAATGGAGCTTTGGTGTGTGGAGAACCAGTGGAGAACAGAGCAGCTGTCTTGGTGAGTGACCGGCGTTAGCTACATTTAATGTTAGCTAACGTCAGTCACATCACAACATTGTAAAGTTAGCAATCATATATCAGGCTATAACTAAAGTAGTATTGATAATATAGTAACGTTACTGGCAGGACTGTTGNTGTGTGCCTTGGCAGTCTCAGAATGTTAGCTAACGTCAGTCACATCACAACATTGTAAAGTTAGCAATCATATATCAGGCTATAACTAAAGTAGTATTGATAATATAGTAACGTTACTGGCAGGACTGTTGATACTGATCCATAACAGAAACTAATGCGTTAGTATCAGCCGTATCTCGCGTTACCTAATGCAACTCCACACTACGTCTTACGGTGCTGTGTACCGGAGGGGAGAGAGGCGAGATACGGCTGATACTTGACGATCTGGCGGAGAAAGGTTGTGGAGCCTCCGTTGATATGCCGTTGTAAACGGCTTGATGGAAAGCAGGTGTGTAGTCGGGGAGGGTGCACAGCTGATTGCAGCAGGTGAGTGGAGGTTGAGCCGGGAGCCAGGAGTGACAGCCACCACGCCCACACAAACAACACAGACAGGGGGAAACAAACACAAAGTAGACGGCTGGAGCAGTACAGCCACCACAGCGTTACCTAATGCAACTCCACACTACGTCTTACGGTGCTGTGTACCGGAGGGGAGAGAGAGAGAGCAGCGAAGGGGGGGGGAGAGAGATGTAATACGGTTTCCTGCTAAAGCTGTGGAGAGTATGTGCTGCAGGGAGGTGGATGCACCTCGCACCCAGGAACGAAAGCTAGCTCCGGTCCTTTTCCCGTGAGGGAAACTGTGGACTCGATGTCCTGACACTGACAGGCTTGAGTTTGTGCAACCTGCACAAACACAAGCTCACCATGATTACAAATGGTGAAATGCAATGTAAAATTACCGAAAAAATACCAGCTCACTAAATCACAACCGCTCAAACCAACTACAAACTACTACCGCGGATTGGGCAGAGAACGAGTCCGAGAAAGTTGCTCCCCCATGTGACGTAATATAACGCGTTTGACGTATGAAGTTAAAAAAAAGCAGTTTTTAGTAGCAGAGCTCAAATCGGCTCTGTTTCCTCTGAATTCCTGCCCGTATGTCTTGTAAAACATATCAAATCCTGCATTAACATTTTTAATTGTAATTTTCAGGCAAGGTTCAGCATAAATGTAGTAAAAAAAAAACCCCGCAAGTTGCTCTTTAATACAGAGGTGAAGTCACGCCACTTTGCTGTGTCTCCCATGGGACCTTATTTTAGAGATAATGTGTAGTCAACGGCAGGAAGAAAATAAAGTGTTGTAGTAACAATTAGTTTCGTGTTTAACCGGTGAGGTAACTATATCTCTCCTCTCACCAACACTTTAGCTTGCTAGCTAGCTAGGAAACCGTTTAGTGACAAACTGCATCTTTCTTCACTTCCACAATAATCTTTTTGCAAAACAGCAAAGTCAAGAAAGTTGCAATTTGTTTTCTTGCTTGCTGGTTGGTAAATACATCAGGTGAGTGGGAATAATCATATTAGGCAATATTATGTAAGACATTTTGTTTGGAATGAGCTAAGTTACTTAGCTAGCTAGTGATGGAAAAGTATATTGTGCAAAAAGAGAGATGTATTTGCCTTTGGGGTTTCAGACAAAAAGGGAACCCAATGAACAACAGAAACGTTAGTTTAATATGATCAGCGAGAACATTCTCTCTTTATTGTATCTTTTTGAAAAAACAAACAAACAAACAAAAAAAGTATTTTGTATTTCTCTTTTGTTAACATTTCAGAATTCTGTACAGGATAAAAAGAAATAAGTACTGCTTAAGAACAGTCAAATCTCAAACTAGAAAAAACAAACAAATGAAAAGTAATTCAAAAAAAAGAGGAGGTTTACAATACAAATTAGTAGTAAGACATTGTCTGAAGTGCAATGGCATAGCTCAGATGGGTTAAACGTGAAACCAAAAAACTTCAAAATAAAAATACTTCTCTATTTTCCAACAAACAGTAAATTCTTTACAGAGTAGAGACTGTATTATCTGATGTATTTAAACCTGTAAAAACATATTTACAAATAGCCATTATCTTTTATATACTTTTTCTCATAATCACATATATGTCAGCACCAGTAAAAAAACAAATAAAATAAAACAAAGAACATCAACAGTTTTTGTTAAAATGTTGTCTACAGACTTGGTCCCGATACATAATGATATTTGGAGGAAGCTTCCTTTCTCTTCCTGAAGGGATTTCAAACCATTTCATGAACCCTTAATTTGAAGAAGACAAGAAAAAGGTCTCTACCTTAACACTGACCTAGAAGTGTCTCTCTACCTTCCTGCCTAGAGTTTGGAGTGGTGAACTTCAGGTGTTTTCCTACACATCACCTCCACGTCTGACATTGAAGCGACGAGCGCTGCACTGCATTGCATTTCCTGCACAAGGAAGGCTTAAACAACCCCAGAACTTAGCTAGAACTTTTATTTAATCTCCCCCTAATAAACCTAGGGAGGGCTACAACCCCAACCCTTCGGCCTCCACACAGCGAGACGGAGGACTTCTGCTCCAGGAAAAAAATGACAAAAACAGAAGTACAGAACGTCCTTCGTTGGGTGCTGCAAAACGCAGCGACGCTTACAGGACGATGGCGGTTAAAAGTTTGTATTTAAAGGGTTTGGATTATACAACGTCAACAACCATGAGAACAAACAGCGTTGATGGCGAGGAGCTAGTTTACAGAGAAGAAGGCTTTTTGGTTTGTTGATTACAGCGTCGTCCTCCAAACTTTCACTCTCGATAGGCTAAATACAAAGTAATGCAAGCACAAACACACTTTCATTCATCTTTTCACCGAGATTACAGAACAGTTAGAGAAGTAAGGTGTTATCTGACGACTAAAAACCTATCCGACACATATTTATTACTCAACCATTAGGGCAAAAGAGCGGCGAGCTTGTGGAGGATGAGGAGTAAGGTTGACATGGGTTAGCTCGGAGAAGGGGAGACTTCAGTGGAAGCGCTGACTGATGGATGCTAACTGGCGTTGTCACCCCTAAAATGTGAAGTTTCTCTACGTTTATTGAACAAACTCAAGGCGTAGCAGTGGTTCATTTTCCTAGTAAAGCGCTGGAAGGGGACGACTTGTATTTCTTCACAGTAGTGTTACAGTATAGCACAGTTACGTTCTAGTTTGGAGCCAGGGCGTTTTATAGCTGCGGTACAAGAGAAGCCACGGTGGAAAGCAGGGCTACGGTGATTGACAACCAGCGGTGTCACAATGGAAGGGAAGGCTGTGCTGCGACAGAACAGATTTTTCAAAAGACAACACAAACTAAAGAAGAACTTTTTTCCTTTTTTTTGCACTTTTCAAAATCGACAAAGACACATAACCAGCATCATTGTTAGAGATAAAACACGGCAACAAACGAAACATGTGGGTGGGCTTTCAATTTTTTTCCCTTTCTTAAAAAGAAGAAGTCACTTGTGGTGCTTGAATACATTCAGTGCCCAGCGTTCGTTTTGCTTCTTGTCAGCGGATGCATGTGATGTGGTTTGTGTCACACAGGCAGAGGGTTTAATGTAATATTAGCTCTGTTAGCTGCCTCTCATCACATCCGCTCATCCTCCCAGGCTGGAGCTTTTTTGTCGGGTTGTTTATGTGTGTGCTTGCTTTAGCTGCCTTTTCTCTCCCTCCCTCTCTGCCTTTTTGCTCTCTTTGTCCTTCTCTGCATGCATACCCGTCATCCACAGCCACGCGCAGGAAATGAACCCCCCTTAAAAAACGCCACCCGGGTTGGTTGCCTAGCAAAGCACTAGAGGGCAGACTGCGCTTGTGTGGCACAATAGAGGAACATCGTTTGTTCTGTTTTGATGGTCACAATTTAAACAGAGAATGGAAAGTGGGGAACGAGTCTCCGGAGAGAAGGTGGGAAAGACGGGAGGAGAGAGAAAGGCAGGATGAGAGAGAGATGAAGTGGAGAGAACAAAGTGGGAGAGTGCAAGGCGACAGATTTGTGTGTGTGCATGTGTGTGTATAAAGGGGGCACAAATCTAAGGGAGGAAATGGGAGCGCTGAGAGTGCTTTCTACTCCCTTCAGCTCCTCACATAGTTGAGAGATCTGAAGCACTGAGCTTGGTGCCACAAACACACAAACACAAATAAATTGCTGTCTTGAGAACTAGTCTTGCTTCCCCTTCATCAGTCTGCTGTGTTCAATCAGCCCCGCTGAAGCTCGGCTCAAAGCGTTGCGGTGTAAACGGGGCTCGCTTTCAAACACTGGAACATGAGAACCATTCATTTTGCGGAGAAAAAAGGGAAAGGAATTAAAAACACCTCTTAATCTCTATTATGGTTTTTCATTAATATGCACAAGACTTAATGATCGCTTTACACCACACACACACACACACACACACACACACACACACACACACACA